GTCACTTAGTTAAAAATGTCACGGATTTTCAGTAAATTTGTGGATGTTGGGTAAAAGTGTATGAGTATTTTAGTAAATTTGTTATCCGTATGGAGAAATGAATCTCTTATTTAAATACATGGCTCGTTCTAAAACAATACACAACAAAAGACGATACCATTTATTATGTTAAATACAATGATAAAGAAAACGATACGCAGACTAGGGCTAATTACAATTAATATATTTTATTAAGTTCGCGGTTTCTACCCAACAAGAGTGTCCTTTTCAAATCTGTTCGTCAGCCTGGGAGCTTGTTTTATTTCTGCTTTTCTCCAGAATCGATGTTTGCCTACATTACTTGATCACTCGCCTTTTACAGCGAAACCGCAGTCGTCCAATATTTCTTGCTCTCTCGGACATCATTCTCTGAACTCATCATGTCTTTCGAAATACGGCAGCTCTCCATTTTCTTTGCATGACCTGACAGCGGAGGCGGCTCTTATTAAGAGTGGACAATGTCCTGCGCATTTACTAAAGTTTCAAAACCAATTTTTGGATCTGTGACTTAACATCGAATGCGCAGAAAGCTTTTCAGACATATTTGGGTGAAGCTGTTGAGTCTTCAGACTTGACTGACGTTTATCGTCAACACTCCACTGCCATATAGGAGAAGGCTGAGCAGAAATGCGGTGTCGACGATTATGTGTAGTCTTCCTGTTAGTTTAGAATTGTGCATGAGCAACTTATTTTATTTTATTATCAAATAGCATTTTGTAACTATATAGTAAATGAAAGTTTTAGTAAAACAAGCGTTTACGATGGATGTCTTAATGTAAATACAATTTTTTTTATTTTCCGGAGCGTCACAAATAATCCGGTTAATAAAAGGCATTAATAACATTTCATGAGGATGTCAAGTTTTTATTGAATTGTCGCATGTAAACAGAAACTGAATTAAAGAGATTCTCAAAAATGCCGAAAATTATTTGGATCGCCAGTCATTATCGGGGCTTATGGATGGTGCGGATAGGTGCGCAAAAGGCGCGGTCGCTAAAGGCTCCAGAGCGAAATTAGCGAGGTGATCTTGGCAGGGTGGAGCCCTAGTAGGTTATGTGGTTTCCGTGGTTAAACACTTGTTTCTTCTAGTAATGTTTACATCTAATATGAATTAATGTGTAAAAGTGGTCAATGGATTTTAAAGAATCTTTACATATTAAAAATTTATAATTAATAATTCAAACCTTCACACAAATTTCAATTCATTATATATTTTTAAAAAAGTATACTTAATATTTTTGTGAGATTACACTGGTCTTACATAGAAAACGTATAGATCTTTCTAAAATATTAAACACGTATAATAAATTCAGATCTTTCTGATATTTTAAGCTGCGTTGCGAAATAGCTGCAAAAAATATAAAAATTATTTTTTTAAATTTTGAACTGATTTTTAAAAAAATCCTACATTTTTTTATTATTATAAAATACAAACTACAATCATGGCCTTGCTGTAAAAATTCTTAGTGGTTAAAGGAGTGATATTAATAAGGTGAAATAGAAGTGCATTTTAATGTCAATTCGACTTTTTTATCTTTCCCTTCCTATCGAGCTGAAACTTGGCTCATAGACTCGTTGCCGATGAAAACACATACTGTCATCTTTTCAGCCCCACTCCCACCTGTAAACTCTAAAAAATCAGTTTCATCGCTACCAGCCGGAACTAATTTCAGGAAATAAACTTCCCGATGACGCCCTAAATGAGATTTTAAAAAGTATGGCAATTAGTGAGTTTGTAGCGAAACATTTTCATTTGTTTTTCTGAAATGGTTCGAGAAATAAATCTGTGGTATAAACGTTGGTTGGACATCAGCATAATAATAAGGTTCAAGGTTGTAAAACAATGTGAGGTTGCGAGATTAGGGAGAACTAAATTGGATTCTTATAAATTGTGTCACTTAAATGCCTGTTATGTCAATTTTTACCCCACCCCCCCCCCTCCACACACACTTTTTTGTGTGCCTGATATTAAATTTTATAACGAATTTAAACAAACAAACTTTGTTTTTAAGGGTTTTTCAATTAAATCATTATATTAACATCACATTTGTTCGTCTGTTTCTGTGTTTAAGGAAACATCCCCGGACTATATGTAGCCGAGTTATGCGTGTGCTGACACTAATAATTTTTTTAACAAAAATATGCAGATCTTGAGATCTCTAGCTTTGTTTGATGATCAACGTGTGGTAAAATCATTTCGCAAAGACAGTCAAATGTCAAAAACACAGCCGTCCTCGAGTATCAGTTACCCCACAACCCGTCTCAGTGGACACGCACCACGTCTCAGTGGACACGCACCACGTCTCAGTGGACACGCATCACGTCTCAGTGGACACGCATCACGTCTCAGTGGACACGCACCACGTCTCAGTGGACACGCACCACGTCTCAGTGGACACGCACCACGTCTCAGTGGACACGCACCACGTCTCAGTTCACACACTCAAAGTAGCAGGCCTTTTTTCTCGGGCTAAATCTTCCGCCTTTATGTATATCACGAACCCGGACCTCATGACGTCAGCGCCATGGCCTGTTCACCCATAGGTAAGGCATGTCCAGTTCAGTGGGTGTGAACACACCTGGGGTAAAAAAAACCTTGCCACAGTAGCGTGCTCCTTTGTCCAAAAAGAAGCACTGCCATACATATCATGTTACACAAATGGCAGATAGAAAACATTTACACCAAGGAATTATAAAAAGTAAATGTTACATTTTAATGTCAGGTAGAATGAAGTTACAAAAAGTGACACATTACCACATTTAATTGACCTAATTCCCACGATCCATTAAGCTGAAACTCGGCCACATAGACCCGTAGCCGATGACAACCACTCTGACAAATTTGTATGCCCCATCATTCCCCGAAATATTCCAAAAATCCTTGTTAACGCTACCAGATACCACTGATTTCACGAATTTAAATTTCCCATGACGGCATTAAATAAGATTCTTAGAAAAATCGCAAGTGCGTTTTGTGCGTAATATTTTCTTTTCTTTTACGGAAATAGTTGGTGTAATAACTCTGTGGCGCACGAGCGGGAGGGAAATGAGGACATCAGTTTAGTTCAGGGACGTGACAAAAAAATGTTTTATTGTAAACCTTTTGGGTGGTGGGGGGATGTTCTAATTAGGATACTTTTAAGGGGCGTTACTTGAATGCGTGTTTTACAAATGTTCAGACCCCACCCCACCCTCCATTGCTCTAAATTACATTTTATAAATTAAGTAAACGAAAAACTCTTTTTCTAGAATGTATTTAGTTAAGACACAAATATTGTGAGGTAGTTTGGAATCTTTGTATTTTTTTTTCAATAATCGAGGAATAGTGTCTACCAATTATATCAAAGAACAGCTTCTAACCATTGGCATAAAATAGTTTCTACCGATTTGCATGAAGTCTCATTTGCTCTTAGTGTACTCAATTTTAAATTTACATTTGAACGTATTAGTTTTAAAAAGCTGTTTCATTTCCTTAACTGGTGCAAACATGAACACTATCTCTATCGTAATTATGTTGGGTTATTTAGATGCCCCTTGTGAGGTGCCATTTTAACAGAGGTGCGTAACAAGCGATAATGATATTGGCAGGACACAGACGCTAAATATGTGTATATAATATATACATATGAAAAAAGAAGATACACAGCCAAAGTCTCGTCATAGTAATCTATATATTGTTACAGTTACAATCATTCAGAATTCGTTAATTGCAATATGGCATGATCCAGTATTAGTATTTTAATAGCTCAATGCAAGGACACAATACATGAATGGAATATATAGTTTTAACCTTAAAACAAGAAAGTGTGTATGTTTATTAGAGATGACCAAAAATATAATTTTTAAAGAACAATATTTAAAACAAGATAAGTGAATGGACCTCACCAAATAAATTTTGGTGATTTTTTTTCCCCAAAGAATTAATCTCAATTAAGATGTAACTGTTTCATTGTTAAAACAAAATGTCTAAGGATAAGAATGTTATATTTTAAAGAGAAAAAGTATAACTCAGATATAGGTTACATACATACATGACAACATATTTATATATATATATATATATAGTTGAATTACTGTTTGTACATATAATTAAAATGGAGAAAAAAACATAATTTTTAAATACAAATTATATTAATCTCCTTATAGTAGCTCCTAAATGAACAGTAAAAATTATGTTTCTCTAGTTTCCAGATGTTAGTGTCATGATGATAATGTCAAGATGACAGTGTCAAGATGTCAGTGTCAAGATCACAGTAGATGAAAAGAAAAACAACAGCTACTTCGAAAACACCATGCCGGAAGTGAAATATCATCTTTTGTCGTTACTATGTTAAGTCTTAAAAATTTACATAAAGGAAGTCATGTTTTGAAAATAGTTATCGGTGAAATAAAAAGGGTGGGGGGATCAGGCCAAAAAAATTTAAAAAATTAAAACAATAACTAAACGAAAAGTGTGAATGAAATAAATCAAATGTACTTATTGTAGTCAACATTAAAATAGTTGCTAATGTGCAACACTTACAGAACTGATATCACCATGTATTTTGGTTTGCGCATTCAATTATATAATTTATTAAAAACTTTATTCTTCCACTTACATAATGCAACAACAATGACAACTTAAAAATATGGCACATCACCATTTTACAGCCACACGCTGATATCAGGAACAACAACAACAAAATATGACACATCAAGATTTTAAAGCGTAAAGTACACCAAGGTAAGATTTGTTTATTGACATGTGAATATTTAAATTAAGCGAATGTTATTTTCAAAACATTTTTTTAAACTTAAGTATTCTTTAATTAATATAAAACAACCGTTTAAAGAGAGTGATCTTGCGGTATATGTGACTTGTGTTTAGAGAGATGTGTAACCTGATATTAATTTTATATGCATAAACACGCATCGCTTGTTAGGTAGTTATGTCTATTGTGTCTGTCTGCCGCGGGGACTGAGCCGATTGAAGTGTACGACCAAAATGTCTGTACCTCTGCTGGTTCTCGTCCTGCTCTGTCCTACAGGTGGGGACATGAGATCCACACATCATGCGGACAAAAGTAAGGACATAAAACATTGTAATTATTTTAAGTGTAAAATACATTGTAAAAATGATTCTATGCTTTAGATCTCTAATTCATAGAAATATTCAACTTATCAGTAAAACAATCAAGTATTCTCATTTGAGATATTTACATGTGTCTAATTAAAGTGCGTTAAATCGTATGTAGAAATGTTACGATAAATAATGTTCTGCCGTAGGGAGAAGTGGGGGGGGGGGATCTGGGTGGACACCAAGCTAAACAAAGCGTAATTCAAATTAATTTTTAATGATTGCGTTTTATGGTTACAATAATAAATGCTCAGTAAAAGGAAATTTTAGCCAAAGCAATACATACATGTATATATAATATATATAAAAATATATGTTTAGTCTTGAATTAAAAAGACTAGACATATTAAAAGGACATTTCGTTCAGATGACTTTCTTCAGCAGACACGACAAAACTAGAAACAGTGAAGGATTAGAAATATCTCTTAGACATATATTACGCTTCTGGTGTGACTCGCGGACAACTTCCTAATTTACTGCTTCATAATTAGCGAAAATTTGTATTGAGAGTATATTAAAAAATAATTCTAAAAGTATGAAAGAAAGTATGGTTAAATAATGAGTTCAATAGCGGGAAAAATATTATTCCCGATAACTACGCTAAATGTTGTTGTTTTTTTTATATATAACGCAACTGCCTTTTTGCGCGTAATATATTCCTTTCGGAAAATGAAATAGCCTCCTTTTAAGTATGGTGTAAAAATTTTTCGTTTTAATAGTGGTTGGTACATCAAAATATTTAATATAGTTCATAGGCTCGAAATAAAAAGTGTGCAGTAACGTATCATTGGGGAAAGGATGTTGCAAAAATTGTAATTCTTAGAAGTGTGTTACTTGAGTTCATGTTTTGTCAAATAACTTTAGTAGATTGGAAGTTCACGCATTGCTGTCACTAATGTTTTGGGGAAACGGGTGGGGGTGGGGGGCAGGGTGTAATATCTAATGTATCTTACATTACTTATTGCGTGTACACTGCCCCTCCTCCCGTGTCGCCACTTTTAAGCATGGTGTCGTCTCAACATAAAACTCACCGTTCTTGAGATATTGCTTTTCAAGAATCTCCCTCCTTTAAAACTAATTAAATAATTACGTTTGTGAGATAAAATGGTATATATATATATATNATATATTTATATATATATATATATATATATATAACATATATTCGTTTGGTAATTGATTTGTTAAAGAATTGGATACAGGAAAAAGCGTGTTCACTAATCACAGGTTGCTGGTGTCCAGGTAAAGCTAAACTTTGGCGCCCCTTTTAAGTATAAACGTAAGAATATGTACAGGGAAAGAAACTCTTCATTCGGTAATGAGTTTATTAATTAGTTTTGTTTTATTTTTCAATAACAATGATAAAAACAAATTTATTTTTTAACTTGTATTTTGACAGCATGATCAATTTGGTTACCGTGATCAGTATGAAAAATTAGTCTACCGCCGGCAGTATGAACAATTAGCCAACCGAAGACATTTTTTTTTCTATCCTTTCTAGATTAGCATATCTCTTATTGAACTTACTGTTTTTCTTCCATGGCGCCAACATGCAAAGTTTTTTTCTTATTTTAGAAGATCGTTAATGGCACCCTAAACATTCGGCGCGTCGGGCAACTGCCCTATTTGCCGGTATCTTGAGCCGGCTCTGCCTAAACATTCGGCGCGCCGGGTAACTGACCTAGTTGCTGGTACCTAGAGCCGGCTCTGCCTAAACATTCGGCGCGCCGGGTAACTGCCCTAGTTGCTGGTACCTAGAGCCACCTCTGCCTAAACATTCGGCGCGTCGGGCAACTGCCCTAGTTGCTGTACCTAGAGCCGCCTCTGCCTAAACATTCGGCGTGCCGGGCAACTGCCCTAGTTGCCGGTACCTAGAGCCGCCTCTGCCTAAACATTCGGCGTGCCGGGCAACTGCCCTAGTTGCCGGTATCTAGAGCCGCCTCTGCCTAGACATTTGGCGTGCCGGGCAACTGCCCTAGTTGCTGGTACCTAGAGCCGCCTCTGCCTAAACATTCGACGTGCCGGGCAACTGCCGTAGTTGCCGGTACCTAGAGCCGGCTCTGCCTAAACATCCTAGGTGCAAAGTCCTTTTTTCCCCCACAACCTGAACCCCATGCAAAATATACGTCTTACCCGCTTCTATTCCTAGCATTAAAGTACATTCATTTCTTTGCCGACAAGGCATATCACATTTACCATTAGACAATTTACAAAGATAATTCGCCGACAGTCACAGTCTGATAGGTGCATCCTGGTTTTTTATGGTGTTATTTTATCCACATTTCGATGACTCTTTTATTAGCTCTAGACACATCCGGGTTGCTCGACTAGGTTTGTGATGGGTGTGCCTCGTTATCAGAATATGTAAACAAGGCAAGGAATAATATCTGTTTTGTTGTTTTTTCTGCTTTTTTTGGTACTTTTGGAGCCGAAATTGGTTTCTGTACAACTGTCTCATTGGCGCAAGAAATAGTGGGACAATAAGTTCTATTAATCTGATTTACAAATTGATGGGATTTTATTGTTTAATTTTTTACCCAACCTGATTCTCTAGGTCCAGGTGTTAAAACTGCCCAAATGTAATATGCTTATTCAATCATTTACTGACATCGCGTAGTCCCTGTGTGAACCATTTGAATTGCATAACAGATACTCTCATCACACTATAGCCTTTTAAAAGCTGGCATGATGAATTTATGTGGCTCTTAAGCAGGGGATCCCAACCCTAGACAGCCTGCCGTCACACTAACTCCTGATCCTAAAAGCAGCTAAATAAATCAGTTCAACAAAATGTTTATGTTAGTTTCTAGAATATATTGAGTGACCAATCGGCTAATTCACATTATTTGTCCATATTTATTTTAAAACAACTAATATTTTAATTGTGACACCTGTATAAGAGGAAATATGTACTTGAAATTTTCACAGGGTCTGTGGCATGCTTCAATGACTTGGGATGTTTTGCTACTGAAGGTCCCTTTGGTTATAGCGCGGAGAGACCTCTGGTCTTATCGCCACAGACACCAGAGCGAATTGGGTAGTTATACATTGTTTATTTTAATCAGAGCAAATTGGGTCGTTTTATATAATAAATTATATATCAGAGCAAATTGGGTAGTTATATACTGTTATTTATATCGTATTTAGATAATTTATTAATATAACAAAAGAAAATTGGATTGCTCGATTGGTTAAAACCAGATCGTATTTGGTTCTTAAATACGTATGTTATAAACATAGACAATGAGAAATTTTAGTTTTAAATGGTTATAACCAGACGTCATTTGATAGTTAGATATTGAATAGATGTGAACAATGTATTTAATTCATCTATATGTAAAATGTGCTCAACATTGTATTTTCAATTAAATTTTTATGGGGAAATCGATTTTTTTAAAAGAAATTGATCATTAACGTTGATGATTTGATTTCGTTAATCTTTAGAATGATATTTACCTTTTGTATTCAAGATTTTTATGTGTACATACTTTTTAAAAATATTTTTTTTCCCATTTTGTTTTTCTTTTTAGATTTAAAACACCTTTTAAAATGCTATATTCTTTTCAGAACCGTTTTCCAACTTTACACTCGTGAGAGCGGAAGTACATCTCAGAACCTGGAAGCTGTCCACCTGGACAGAATTCTCGCCACATGGACCCACTTCAAAGCTCGGCCAACAAAGATCTTGTCCCATGGCTTCATGGATAATTCAAATGTAACACCTTTCCAGCGTGTGAGTACCTTCTAGAAAGTGGTGCTTTATATGTGTGGGTTGGTCTCTTTAGGAAGTCTAGCAAGATATCTAAAATAAATTTAATCACTAGTTAAAAAAATTCAGTGAACTCCTTTTGTAATAACGGCTACCTATTAATTCTATTTTGAATGATTTGTGACGTTTAGGGGAGCACGCTGGTAAATTCCTATAGATTAGGGAACAAAGGAATTTTTAAAATCTATCATTCCTCGCCCCGAGTGAACGAATTCATCCCGAGTGTGCCGATCATAAGTGTCTGTGGCCAAGAGGGCGGGATGTATCAACCAACATTTGTTTAGCTTTACATCTTTCTTCAAATAGTTCTTCGAGTGAAAGATGTTTATTTTGTGTGATATCTATTAAATGTAGAACCTCAAAGACAAGCTTTTGGAATACGGTGATTTCAATGTTGTCATTGTGGACTGGTCCAAAGGAAACTCTCCCCCCTACACACAGGCCACAGCCAATACCAGAGTTGTGGGTGCACAAATAGCTTTGTTGGTCAAGGAGCTCGTGGTAAGTTGTCTTTTCGTCTTGTTTATTGTTTAAATGACGTGATTGAATAGTTCAAGTAAAACAACTGGAACAACCCAGTTGGCATTCATTGATTTTTATGCATATAATACATACTATATATGGCATTCTTTCATCTTCGGGAAATGATGATGTAGCTACGTGCCCTTCAACAAATGACTCACTAGACCGATCCTGGAATGGCAATCTTGGCTTCATTTCTCGCAGGAAAATATTGACTCCCGGTTGCATTTAACCCTTCGTATTGTTCTTTGTGTTGCATAGGCCTCGTTTCACGTATCTTCTTACTTTTGACCCCTTTATACACTGCTGTTCACAATGTTGGCTCTCCTCATATTTCTGTTGCAAAAGTCCATAAATCGCAGGTGTGGCCGTCCAATAAGTCTTGTCCCTTCTGCCAACTCTACAGATAAGCAGCTTCTTTGGACTACAGCCTTCATCCATTCACCTTACCAGTGAAAGAGGCTCCTGCTAAGAGCGAACAAAATGCTAAACATTTGTGCACGTTCCAAGACCTCCGTGTTTGGCGCCTTGTTCTGCCATCGAATGTGTAAAATGCGACTCAGACATCTTTGAAGGAAGATTTTGAGCTTCCGTTCAGGATTGGTATATGTGGTCAACACTGCACTGCCAAATAGGAGCATACTAAGTAAACATGCCTGGCATACTCTTAACTTTGTTTTATCAGTTAGAGATTATTCCTCACCCGCATATTCAGTTCAGCCATTGTTTCTGATGCTTTTTTTTATCGTGATATTCAATTCTTCTTCAGTGGAAAGAAAACTAGATCTTTTGGATCTGAGGTATGTGAAATGCTCAACAATCAACAGTTGATTGTGGCGCTAAATTGATATGATGGAGGGACGGTGCTCCTTGCATCAAGATATTTGTTTTCTTTAGACTAATTAACAATCAAAACTCTTTACAAGCGTGTGATAGACTATTAACTAGCCACTGATGTTTAAGCAGCATCGTCAGCTAAATGCAATTTACGAATTAGTACCTTTTTTAGCATTGTCCTTGCAAAAAGGCAGAAAAAATTGAACAGCATTCCATATCAAATCGGTATGGATGTTAACTCCGTCTTCCCAATACCTGAATGCAAACTGAAGGAGCGTCGAGAGAAAAATGGAGAAGAGCGTTTGTGCCAGTACACAGCTTTGCTTTACCTCCCTGCTGGCCAGAACTGCTGCAGAGACCACGCCATTGAAGTTTACAGTGTTGTGTGTGTTATTGTGTAATAACTGTATGATTGTAAGCAATCGTGTGGGAAAACCACTTCTATGCAAGATACTAAACAGTTCTCTCCGACCACCAAGTTGACTGCATTTGTCAGCTCCATGAGAACAATATAAACAGGCATATGTTATTCACGACACCCTGCATTTGGCGTAAGGAGAATAACATGTCTCTAGTTGAACGCCCACTTCGGAAGCCACACAGTGACTCTGGGTAGATGCGGTTTGCCAGACTCTGAAATCCTTGAAGGTAGACACGGGCAAACGTCTTTCCAACTAAGAAACAAAAAAAAATTCCTAGGCAGTTATTACAATCATTTTGGTCCCTTTTATCTTTGTAAAATGTTACGCTTTTGACGTCTCTTATGTCTCCGATTCATGGACGACACTTATTTTATCATTATGCAAAATACTATATATTAGCATGTTTTATACTTATTTTGACTCTATAAAAAACTGATATATTTGGCTTAGATAAATAAATATATATATATATATATATATATATATATATATATATATATATATATAATATATGTATCTATAAATATATATATATATATTTTATTTTTATATTTATATTTACTCTATAAAAAACTCATATATTTGTCTTATATATATATATATATATATATATATATATATATATATATATATATATATATATATATATAATGTATGTATCTATAAATAGATATATATACATTTTATTTCAAAATATATTGCGTATCTAGAAATTAAATCCCTGAGATAACATGATAATAACAAAATATACCGTGGCTACATTTTAAAATCGATAATATCAGTTCTAAAATTAAAAGAAATAAAAATAATTCACAGAAAACCAAGAACGTCACAGCTGCTGACTTTCATCTGATTGGTCACAGTCTTGGAGCACATATTTCTGGGTACGCTGGAGAGAGAATTCCAGGACTGGCTAGAATTTCTGGTACAAATTATCACATTAATTTTCCTTTGGGCTTTCAGCATTGTGAATATGAAATAGATGATGATCAGGACTAAACTTTTGCAGAATCAACATTTAAAAATTTAAACTTAACGAGTGGCCAAAGCCCCGTAAGGATACAATTTGAAAAAAAAATAACGTTGGAATTCAGTCTCTAAGAAGGAAAAACAAAGTTATTTGCAGAGTTACACTAAAGGTTGAGTCAGACAAAGTGTGGATGCAGTGTTAGACAAAGTGGGAATAAAGAGTTAGACAATATGTGCATGCAGAGTTAGACAAATGATAGTATACAAAGTGTTGAGTCAGAGTTAGACGTATGGTGGAGTTAGAGTTAAACAAAGGGAAAAGCAGAATAAGACAAAATATGTTGACAGAGTTGAGCAAAACTTAGAGGAACGTTAAGACGAATGTTTGAGGCAGAAGAACACAAAGTGTTGACGCAGAGTTAGACTATGCTATTTTTTTTCCTTTTCTAATTCTCAAAGTTACCCCTTTTCTAATGTGCCGTTAACCCATTTACTGCAATGATTCCATTGGGATCATTCACTTTCAATCTTCTAGTGGCGCCACCTGCTATCTACTTAGGAAACAACCATGTGCACATGACTCATCAGTGTTGTGCCTGTGATGCGGAGGCTAAATAATGCGAGGCAGCTATTTTCGTCGCGTGAGTCGGACCCCGGATTTGCAAACAGACCATTTGATTATCCAAGAGACTCCTTTTTTTAATTTTTGTTGGTTTATCTTGATGAATTTTAGTTGTTTAGTACAATAATTGCACTTTTCACTTTTTCATTAATTTTATAGTTTTGATGACTGCTGTTGCCCGAAATATATCGATACACATTTTTGGATCATATCTGATCTGACTAGAATTTAGATAATATTTTGCAATTGCGTTTTACAGTAAATGGTGCGATACAGGGTCCTTTTTAAAAAATAAATTGATGCTATTATAAATGACAATGCGTTTCGGAGTTCTTATGAAGAAGGATAACAATGATCCTATAGATATCGTGGAACTTCCTCCAGATCGAGATGACAAAGTGTCAGACAATGAAGATATTTGATGACAACAGTTTTGATGATGATGCACCGGGCACTTTGTTTACTGTCTAAAAAGCTATTGCAACCACATGCAATTCTATGATGACAAGGCTACATTGCACTCATGATGACTCAGGCGTGTCCGGACTTTTTGATTTCAGCAATTCTGTAGCCAGAGCGTATCTTGCTATCTCTCCACCAATTTCAGACCCCAAAAAGTCTGGGAGGAAATCTTTCTAGAAACCATTCAAAATTCGTGTTTCTGTTGATGTGAGAACCTCTGTAACTAGTCACTACATTAAACGAACAGAAACAAGCAAACAAAGGAAGTGTTCAGTGTGTAAGACTAACGTAAGAAAACAGTGCTGCGAATGTAATGTTGGACAACATGTTGAGAGCAGTAAATGTAATGGTGGACTACATGTTGAGTGCAGCAAATGAAAGTTAAAATACATGTTGAGCGCAGCAAATGCAATGATAGACTACATGTTAAGTGCTTTCTGGTACGGCATTAAAAACTAGGCCGTATCAGTCATGATCCCCATTTTGGAATGCCCCAACAATTAGGAATTTTTTAAAAAAATTCGGTGATATGATCCAAAACACATGATTTCTTTATTTAACAGATGTAAACGTATACCAATAAAAAGACAAACATATTCAGAAAAAATGGCAGTAAACGGGTTAATGCAGCACAAATATATTTTTCTTATTGAAAAGTTCATTTTTATTATACACCGCCGGTTGTCTGGGACTACAACCGTAGCAAACTCCAGCTTCAAACTTCACAAGATTAACTAAAAAGATGTGTGAACGGGGATGGGGACGGGGGCTAATGCAAAATCTTTAATGGCCAGGGTAGATGTGTGGCGAATAAGTTTGGAAGACACTGCTGTAGATTTTTCTATTAGTATATTCAAATAAATGAAATATTTTCTGATACTTCATAAACAATAATACCAACCTAAGGCTTTTTCAATAATTAATTTATATATAGGGCAGTATAGTTGTGTTGTTTTTTTTTTTAAATTCTAAAAAGGCATTGACCCAGCAGGGCCATATTTTGAGAACACTGACCCAGTTGTAAGACTCGACCCGTCGGACGCTCTTTTTGTTGATATTATTCATTCAAATGGCAAATCTTTGATACAGTTGGGTAAGTTTTATTTTGAAATAGTCTTATAGTTAAAATTGTTTTGTAATATAGTGTAAATGTGTAATTTCTGTTACACTTGAGTTTTGATTCATTACACTAGCTAGAATCAAAACAGATATTAAGCCGAAGTAAATTAGGTTTTAGCGTCATTCTTGTGTCAACAATTATACATTCAAAATGATCGTGTTTTGTTGCATCGAGCCTGATTAATAGCAAACTCAAAGGGGTAAAGTACCACCAGCGTCAAGAGATTGCCAAAAATCGAGGCAGGTTGAAGAAATAGTCCTTCGCGTATGTGAACGACCAAAATAAAGAATTTAAGGACTAAGTCTCTTTTAATATCAGAGGGTATGTACTTCCCTGTGGCCGCCTACAGTGGTGCCACTGAGAGCGTGTGTTCCTTATTCTCATATCTGGCACATTGCTACATATGATCGTATGATATCTGGTAAATTTGTTCGAGATAGTCTATCATGATTCGCTATTTAAAAACAGCACATGGTTCTAGACAATGATGTCTTCCCATTAAAATGCGTTAAGTGCTATTGAACTTCAAAAAGAAAAAAAAAATGATCCAAGTTTTATTGAGCTTGATATGCATATAACATCCTGATATCATTTGAACAATGACATGAAAACATACCTCAACTAGCTTTGTTTGATCATTTTTGTGTTTTGCCCAAGTCATTACTACAAGTTGTCTTTCTTTCTTTGCTCATAGGTCTAGGCATAAAGCAAGCGTGTGGTCACCTGGACTTTTTCCCCAATCTTGGACGTGACCAGCCTGGATGTAAGAGGAGCGCATTTACACGGATCGCACAGTTGGGTCTAATGGAAGGTAACTATCTCAGTTGGGTCTTACGGTAGTTAACTACTTTAGGTGAGTCTTACGGAAGGTAACTATCTCAATTTAGGTCTTGGAGAAGGTAACTATTTGAGTCGGGTCTCACGGAAGGTAAATTTTTCGAATAGATCTTGTGAAAAATAAATTTCTCCGTAGAGTATCGCGTAAATTAAAGTCTCAGTGTGTCTCATGAAATCCAAATATCTCATCGAGTTTCATAGAAGATAAATCGATCAGTGTTTTTTTTTTTTGCAAGATGAATATATAATTCAAATGTTAAGGCTATACATGTTCAGCTTACCAAGAGGAACGTAATGACTGAATTAATTATCAATCACCATCCAGGTTTAAATGAGGCGATCAGCTGTAACCACATCAGAGCACTCCACTACTACGTTGAGAGTATCAACTCCAAGTGTCCATTTATGGGGTACCCATGTAACAATGAAAACGAATTTTTAGTAAGTCTATGAGTTAGTTACATTGATATGAAAGTACGCGAATGCACAAAATAGCTAACGACTTGCTAATGTCATGCTAATAACATGCTGATAGCATGCTAATAACCTTCAAATTAAATGCTTATTATATGTTAATTATGTGAAAAATAAAATTTTGACCGATCTGTATTTAGATACAATGGCTATATGGGAATTTATTCAATGAAAATGTAATTTTTATTTAAATGTATAACAATTTATAACCAATAACAGTTAATGATACAATGTTCATTGTTTAATTGTTCAAAGAATGGTAAATGCAACTCTTGTGGACCTGATGGATGTCCTTATATGGGTTTCCACGCAGATAAAAGCAAGCTTGCAAGAGGTCAAAGAAAAATCATTTATTTGACAACGGCTGACAGACAGCCGTTCTGTCGTAAGTTCATTTGCCAATACTAAAAAATACATTATAAATAAATACTGTTTTTTTTTACAATAAATGTGCAGCTTCAATCCTTACGTCCTTTATAATGTACTAGGTAACTAAAGAATATATCAAAGCGAGAAATAACAATTGTGTTGCGATTTTTGTATCTATTTCAATTACACAACTTTGTGTCTACACCAAACTACAGACACGCGTAATTAAAAAAAAATTAGCAATGCATGTACACAACCCTTATAGTTTGACTCCGTGACAGAGTACCACATGGAGATTAATTTGAAGTTGAGCTCCAGTCCGGGACAAGAGGAACGGGGTCAAATCTCAGCTGTGTTGACAGGTGACAGTGGCACCACGACTACAATCCCACTTAACACCAGGTGATGATTTATTTCAATAACTACCCTCTTTTTTTTCTTATCGGAACTAAATTTAATAAAAATGTTCTTGTAATTAAAAAATTGAATTATCCGTGAAACTTATTGACACAACTGCTGCCATTTCACAACAGTGAACGTTTTTTTTTTTTGTAAGGTTTTCACCCCAACTTACAACAACTTTGTTTTCTACAGTCCAGTTGTCTTTAGGCCTGGAAGTGTCCATCAGTTCTCAGTGGCGACCCTTTCAGATATTTGGAATATCCGATCAGTGACCCTGTCCTTTACACACATCCCCCTTTTCCTTAACCCCTTCCAGTGGAACATCCTAGGACTCAGACATCCCAAATTGTACATAGATGAATTCGACATCCACAGACAGGAGGCTAACGCAGAGTAAGTTCCCTGGATCTCATCTCGTCATGTTTAGATGTTGCGCCAGCTTTGGCTAGTTTTCTTTCATTTAATTATAATCCTCTGATGGTAGAATTTTTGTTTTTACGCACGTCTTATGGTAATTTTTATTCAACATGTTGGAAAACTTTCTTCTTCTTTTTAAAAAATATAAAAAAAATATGTACACGATTGTCCGATACTACTTTTTAAAGAAAGATTAAAAACGTTCAGTAAAAATCAGTATTAATTTTCAATAATTACTCTTCTAAATATATAACTCTTTCGATTTTATATATATATATATATATATATATATATATATATATATATATATAATGTTTGTTTTAATTACTTTATTTTCAGAAATCGTTTCTGTGGCTCTGGGATCAGCGTTGAAACTGGCCATTCCATTACCTTGTCTAAGCCTTGTTAGTGTGTATGGAAACTGAGCTTCATATTACCTTGTAACATCCTGTTTAGCATGTATGGAAACTGACCTCTAAATTACCTAATCTCATTCTTGTTAACTGATATGGAAACTGATCTATTCATTATTTTATCTCATCATTGTTATTATAGGATGGCTAGCATTCTAAAATGAATTTCATTATTGACTTTTAAAATATATGTATTGTTTATATTTCTGGATGCGTTATTGAATTAAGTCAAATTAATGTCATACACATATACTGGCCCCATCACCTAAGCGTTTAAAAAAATATATATATATACTTTTTAAAGTATTTAAGAGTATTGAGAAAATTTTACTTATGTGACAATCGGAATTCGATTCTCTGAAATAATCTATAATATGAGTTTTAAAACAATCTGTTATAAATTAGGTTTAAAAAAATAAAATTCTACAAAGATTGAGAAAATATTACACACACACATATATACATATATATATATAAATATATATATATATATATATATTATATATTTATATAATATTGAGCTAGGGTATCTAGGAAACACAAAGGGAATAAAATTGATTTAAATACATTCGGAGTCTTAATAACGATGATAGCGATGTTCTATTATTATGTCCGCTTTTATTTTAGTAAATGTTAAAGTATTATTTTTATTAATGAAAAATACATTAAGAATAAAAATTAAGAAACTATTTTAAGCATTTTATGTGATATTGACAGATATTAAATTATTATTTTCAATCAAAAAATTTTGATCTAAGAAAATGATGATTTTATTAAATCATTATCCCATTAATGAAAACCAAAACATGTGTTGCTTTTGGTCGTTTTTAGTGCGTTTTCAATATTGGCAAATTAAAATAAAATTAATTTAATTTAAATGTCTTCAGACAACATCGAAAAAACATGCAAATGTCGGATTGGCGTAAATTATCTATTTTATCCAAAGCTTTAAGTTTCTTTGATTCAATAACAGAGCGTCAAAAAAAATTAAATGTATTTTCCCCTTCTTAAAATTAAATATATATGTATTTCAGATACATAATTGATTGCTTTTTAAATTGTTAAAACAACATTACAATTTTTATTTTTTTTTATTTTTAATTTGTTTTTACTCATTTTTTTATTCCAAAAATATAATATTCATTAAATCTATAAAGAATTACAAACTAAAACTTCAAAAATAATTTTAATTAGAAAAATCAGTTTAAATTAATCAATTCAACAAAATATAGCCAATATAGCATTGAATAATGCACTTTTAACTCATCCAAATGAGAACAAACCAAATGAAGTTGCAATTGGTTCATTTTGATATTTAAATTTAAAGACACAATTATGTGAAAGATTTGAACTCTGGTATAGTTTTTAATGTTAAAATGAATAAAAATGATATTATAGTATACGGAATTATACATAGATTAATATATTTTTTTTTTTTTAAATAACAATTTGTGGTAAAAGGGATCTAGCACTTTAGAATTTTAATTTATTTTAGGGACATACATGAAATGTTTTTTTTTACGTACATGGGGGCTACAATCCCGTGGATCATTTTATTAATTATTTATTAAAATCTGATGTGGAAGGAGTGGTGTAATAGTATACTTTAATTTTTTTTATCCCAAGGCAACATACGATACGCCTCAGAATAAAGGAATATACTTAAAAAATAATTAACCTTTTTAGGTACTTATATATCGGGGGTAGGAAATAGGATGTTTGCATTTTTCCGTGGATGACAATGTCTTTAAATTCCATGATATTAAAGCTTTTACAGATACACATATGCTTACCAGTTTAAAAAATCAATGAAATTTTACAAAACTTTGGTATATAAGTATAGCCATGAATATAAAAACCCAATCATGTTACTCACTTTAGCTTTTAGTTTTTAAAAAAATATATATGGGTTGATTTTTTTTTAAAAGAATGAAAATATCTCTTTGTTTTAAACTTTGTGAAATGTATAGTTGGTGTATAGCGTTATGAGAATAATATCTCTGTAAAATGTACACTTAAAGCTGTTAAGAAGGGAAAAATGGTTAAGAGATTCTTCCTTAGATGAAATACTTCTTTGTTTTCTATTATGTTATTGGAAAACAAAGGCAAACGTTTAATTAATATTTTAATGAACATATTATTATATCAAATAACGTTAATATATATTACATTAAAAATGCTATAGATATTTTGTATGTAGTTTTATGATTAATTTTTTCACAATTTTTAGAGAAATTTTTTCTTTTTTTTTTTAAACGTAACGAAACATGGTAGGGTAGACCAATATTTAAAAATTTCAAAGCACAAGACATCTATAGTATTTCTCTAGTGTAGAAATCAACCATCATTGAAATCCTTCAGGGTCAATAATGATTTAATTAGTGACCATTTAGATGTGTCTATTGAAGATCATGTTTAGAGAGAAGAACTGTAGTTTAAGGGTGCGAAATAGCACATTGTGATCGTATAAGATATAGCAGAAAAATACTTCTTCAAACTTTTAATAATGTTAGAATCGTAAACAGCAATGCATAAAAATCTTCTTTTTTTAAAAAAAAAAAATATATTGTGATGAGTTTTTGTAATAGCAGGTGGAAATTATGGCAAAGTGTCTGCCATTATTATCTCGAGAACATCAGGGGATATTGTCTAGTTTCTTATACGAGCTTGAGCTTATCAATTACGATGCATGTATTATTACATTCTAATTTAAGGCATACACGATATGTTTACAGATTTTTTAAAGTAAAAATAATTAAATTTAAATTTTTGTTAAATTCTTGTTTAAAAGATTATAATCCACACCAAAGGGCGGTAATGCTAAATGTAAATGAAAGACAATCTATTTTACACAGTAGGTTCCCTTGCGTCTTTGTTGAAATTGAAGAGCTAAATTAACTTTTGTTAAAAAAAAAATAATAATAGAACCGATAAAGATAATTCATTGTATATTTTTATCAGTACATGCTTGTGTAATGCAATGGATTCATATATATTAAATATGTTAAAATTTGTTCAATTTTGTTATGTTACCTTAGTTGTTTTTTTCGTTGCTTCATATTTTTATTTTCATAAATTAAACCTTAATAAATAAATAATATTTATTTCTATTATTTGAATATGAACAATGAATTTAAATCGAAAGGTGATTAGATTTGGGTATGGCGATTAAAATGGGTTGAATTAAAATTCAGCTTCTGGTTAAAACAAAAGTGTTTATGTGTCCCAAACCATTCACGCTGTATGGGTAAAGCTAAGCTATCGAATAACGTGGTAACTGCAGAGGGTTAACTAGACACAGTCAGTTTATGGAGATAAAACTTCAACAGTAGATGCTAAGCTTGAACCAGGATTGCATAAAATATAATCTCAAACCTTTCAGTTAATACCTTCATCAGAAAACAAAAAAACATTGGCGCCGTCGTGGTCCGAACTCTCCACAATATTAAAGGCTTAAAAAGTGTCGTATTATTAAAGGATACAAAACATTAAAACCAAACTCTTTGAATACATTAAAATGAATTTTTTTTGACAACCAATGAAATATTTCACAGCAGGCCATTTAGCCGAAGGCCCTTTCACTGACATTGATAATAATATTCTTTTGATTGATAATTTAAATACACAGCTGACAATAGGACATGTTAACGTTTAACAGAGAATTTCTATGTAAACTTGAAAAATGTGCTTGTTGTTTCCAAATTGTTTATTAGTTCCATGTAATCGCCTAGGTGGTATGGACAATATGTTTTATTTCAATTAATATTTTTTAATACTGTTAAGTGTAAGTTGGAAAAAATCCCACGTAACCCAACCCCCCCCCCTGGGAACAAAAGAGATCCGCTGAATTAAGCCCCCAGACACAATCTCTACAGACAAAAGACACACGTATTTATATGTGTATTGTTTTCTCTTTGATAAGATTTAAAACTAAAAATGTTTAGTTAACGATTCAATGATGGTTAATTGAACAGCCAAAAAGATCAATTCCGTGAACGCTTAACTTCTTAATCCACAAATTTATAATTCAATCAGTTTGCTGAACTGATCTCAGCAAGCTCTTAACTGGGTGTATGTCATAAAATCGTTACACATTAGCTACATTTTCCACAACAATCAATGTAAATGGGCGATCACCGCTTCATTACACTTCCGATTACACAGAGACAGACCGATATTATGTAGTCTCTTTAGCATTTTAGCGTACATAATAAATACGTATAAAACCCACATCTTTCAGTTCTTGAATATTAGACATTTTCTTTATCCCCTCTAATTTATCTAAACGTGAAATCGCAGATAGCCTGTAAAACACCGGGTGATGTAATTCGTGTATCAACATTTTTAAGAAGATTACATATAGGGCTTCCCTCGTGGCCACACATTCATCAAACTTACCTTTCAATGTTTTAACAGCAGAATGATGCCAATGTGTTGTTGGCAGTCTTTTCCACGAAATTCCAGTGTGCTCAATTGAAGCTTCCCATCGATGACTGAATGCAGCAAAGAAGGAAAATATTATGTCAATAGTAGCGAAAAAATTTAATACATACAACATATTCGGCCAAAGAGTGTCATTTCCGCAGTTACCGAACATTTCAATCGGCATTGAATCCTGGGAAAAAACGGTGTTTTTCTGACCTAATAATAGGGTACCGTGTTTTCTGAGGCATCTATTTTAACCCTTAATATAGCACACATTTGAATCGGTTACATGTGTGGCAAATTGACATATGATTGATTATCCTTTTATAAAACTCGGTTATACCGAGCTGTGTGTGCTCTTTACACATGCACAATTTCAAGTTGATGTCATTCTCCTGACACGGTGTCATCCGGGTTGGTTTGCACTCCTAGCACCACCCAGCTACGCCACTGCATACACTGAGGTCGTCGTAAATCAATTTATTGCTTCACTGCGATCTAATTTTACCACATTTATATTTTGCTCAAACAATCTATTATATTCACCGCAGTAAGGGAACAGCGAGAGATGCTAATATATATATATAAATATATATATTTTTAAAAAGAAGATAAACAGCAAATGTCTCATCATGGCATTCTATATTACGTTACACTTACAATCAGTCAGAAATCGTTCTCTCCAATCTGGCATGATCCAATTGGGATGTAATAGCTGAATGCAAGGTCACAACATGTGCAGGAAAATATAGTTTTTAACCTTAAAAACAACCAAGGTCTTAATACTTATTAGAGATAAGCATCGAGGAATAAGACTGGAAAGTACTGTGTTCTTTTCATTTGATAT